TTTTGAGTTGGAGTCTCACTCCGTCTCCCAGGCTGGAGTGCAGTGGCATGCTCACAGCCACCCCAGCGTCGACCTGCTGGGCTTCAGCGATCCTTCTGCCTCAGCCTTCCAAGTAGCTGGAACTACAGGCATGCACTATACAATGCCCGGCTTATTTTTTTTTTTTTTTGTAGAGATGAGGTCTCGCCAAGTTGCCCAGGCTGACCTCGAACCATGCCTGACTAAAAAGTAACTCTTATAGGATCTTCTTTCTTGAAGACAAAGAGAGCAAGGGTTACCTAGATGCTGTGACCCTTTTGTAATTTATATTTGTCTATAAATTGACCTAATGATCCTTAATACGGGGTCACCAGTATGATGTCACTTTGGATCATAAACTTCTATTTATGAGACTCATCCCCCTAAAGCAGAGGTTCTCAAAATGAGGTTATAGACTGGCAGCATCAGCAACACCTGTGGACATGGTAGAAATTCAGATTCTCAGCTCCCACCCCTGACTTCCTGAATTAGAAATTCTGGAGGTAGAGCCCAGCACTCTATTTTAGTAAGCCTTCTAAACCTTGGTTGCACTGTTAGATCTTGGGGTAGGGGTGAGGGGGAATCAGTGGGGAGTTTTAAAATGTGTGAATGTTTGGAGTCCGCTCCAGTTCAATTAGAATCACCTATAAGAATGGCCTGGGCATTGACCTTTTTTTTTTTTTTTTTGAGTGGGGTGTTTCACTCTGCTGCCCAGACTGGAGTGCAGTGGCACGTTCATGGTCACCCCAGTGTCGACCTGCTGGGCTTAGGCAATCCTTCCACCTCAGCCTTCCAAGTAGTTGGAACCACAGGCGTGTGCCACCACACTTGGCTAATTTTTTGATTTATTGTAGAGACAAGGTCTTGCCATGTTGCCCAGGCTGGTCTCCCAAAGTGCTGGGATTATAGGCTTGAGCTACCACACCTGGCCCATTGATTTTTTTTTTGTAAAAGTTCCTCAGTTAATTTTAATGCTAGGGCTGAGAAACATGACCCTTGAACCAAATCACAAATAATCTTTATGAAAATAGCCAGTTGACTCTTTGTCACATGTGAGTTCAACTAGATCAGAAGGACTTGACAACTAAGGCTTTTTAGAATGAAAAATGCATTGCTAGAGGTACATTAACTAACACTGCACAGTATTACAGAGTAGTGTCTGAATTCTAGAAAGTGAGGAAAGCAAGTTGCAGAATGGTGTTGTGTATGATTCTTTTGGGGAAGTTGGGATGGGTTTTTTTGCATATTATCTCCAATTAACAGGACTTGAAGTGGGAAGGTACGTTACTTTTTACCCTTAGACTATACGTTGAAATATTTGCTAATAATAAGCATGTATTATTTTTATAAGAAAAGGTTTTAAGTGAAATAATTAAGCTGAGTACAGTGGCTCATGCCTGTAATCCCAACACTGCCTGAGCCCAGAGGTTCAAGGCCAGCCTGGGCAACTTGTCGAGACCTCATCGCTATAATAAATTTAAAAAATTAGCCAGGCGTGGAAGTGTACACCTGTGGTTCCAGCTACTTGGAAGGCTGAGGCGGAAGGATCGCCTGAGCCCCAGCAGGTCAAGGCTGCGAGCATGCCACTGCACTTCAGCCTGGGTGACAGAGTGAGATTATGGCTCAAAATAATAATAATAATAGTAATAATTAAGCGAAAGTGTGGGAGTGGTACTATGGGGTTTTATTTGAATGGCTAATAGAGATAAATGGGCTTTTTTTTTGAGTTGAAGTCTCACTCTGTCACCCGGGCTAGAGGACAGTGGCACACTCATGGCTACCCCAGTGTCAACCTGCTGGGCTGGGGTGATCCTTCCGCCTCAGCCTTCCCAAGTAGACAGAACTACAGGCATGCGCTACCATGCCCAGCTAATTTTTTTTATTTATTGTAGAGACGAGGTCTCGCCAAGTTGGCTGGGCTGGTCTCGAATCCGCGGGCTCAGGCAGAGCCACCGAACCCAGCCAGAAATGAGTTTTAAAAACAATTCTGGGTCCCTTGGAATGGAGCTGGTGATAAACTCCTCCAGGGTATCAGTATTGCATTTGTTCTGTTTCTGGCAGAGGTATGAAGGTTATTGAAAACCGGGCCTTAAAAGATGAAGAAAAGATGGAACTCCAGGAAATCCAACTCAAAGAAGCTAAGCACATTGCAGAAGAGGCAGATAGGAAATATGAAGAGGTAAGGTGCCTTCTGTTTGCCCTCTGTCTTCAGTGATATCAAGCTTCTGCAGAGAATCATGAGGAAATGGCTCCTTTTTTCCTTCACTGGGCTATACTGGGATCTTTTCCTGCAGGTGGCTCGTAAGTTGGTGATTATTGAAGGAGACCTGGAACGCACAGAGGAGCGAGCTGAGCTGGCAGAATCGTGAGTATCTTGCTCCCCTAATCTTGTCATACCATTCTATTCCTTCCTTCCCTTTTGGCTTGGACACTAATATGAATAAACTAGCATTCCTTTGACCTTGTTAAACAGGGCCTACAGAGTGGGAAATAGTGTTTTTTTAGGCTCTAAGATTGGCTTTAGGCTTCTTTACTCTTTTCTTTTTTTTTTTGAGTTGGAGTCTCTGTTACCAGGCTGTAGTGCAGTGACACACTCATGGCCACTGCAGCCTCTACCTGCTGGGCTCAGGCATTCCTTCCATCTCAGCCTTCCAAGTAGCTAGAGCTACAGGCATGTGCCACCATGTCTGGCTAATTTTTTGATTTATTATAAGAGAAAGGTCTTGCCACGTTGCCCAGACTGGTCTCGAACTCCTGGGCTCAGCCAGTCCTCTCACCTCTGCTTCCCAAAGTGCTAGGATTTTAGGCCTGAGCCACCATTCCTGGCCCCTACTCTCTTGACTAGTGACAGGTGACAAATGAGACTTTTCTATTTCTTGTTGGTGGTAGGCTTTACAAATTGAGGGAGAATTAAAGACTAATAGATGGTGAAGAGTTAACTGCAAGACTACTGGGTTCTTCTGCCTGTTTTTGTTTCTCTTTGAGTCATTGACTGAAGATGTAGTGTCTGGCTAGATGTGGTGGTACATGCCTATAGTCCCAGCTACTCAGGAGGCTGAGGCAGGAGGATTGCTAGTTGGAGGGCAGCCTGAGCAGTATAGCAAGACCCTCATAAATAAACAAACAGATGAACAAATTTAAAAAAAAAAAAAGATCTGGTGTCTGTTCTTACTACTTTGCCAATCTGCTGGGGAACCTTAGGGCAAAAGCAGACATTAACTGCCCCTGTCGGCACCTTTTGGGCCTTGTATAACAAAGTTAGTGCTGATGCATATATATTTGTGCTTCCTTTGCATTCCTCTTTCCCAGTCATAACATATCATGACCATGGTGGTGTTTTGTTCGTTTGTTTGTTTTTTGTTTTTGTTTTTTTCATTTTGCTGCTTGTTTTTTTGCTGTGTTCTTTTTTGACCTTTCTCCCTCCCACACCTGGCTTGTGCCGTCCCGTGACTATCACTAACAGCCGTTGCCGAGAGATGGATGAGCAGATCAGACTGATGGACCAGAACCTGAAGTGTCTGAGTGCTGCTGAAGAAAAGGTACTAACCATGAAACCCACAGCGAGGTTCTATGTACGGTGTGGTTTTGTTTTGTTTTTGTTTTGCAGCTGCCTCCCCTCCACTGGTTGATTTGTTGAGTGCGTTCTCATCTCTTCATGGAATGCTCCATTCTTTTCCACTTACCTGGCATCTTTCATCTCTTTCTAGTTGCTTCAAGGCCTCTCCACAGGGTCTCCTTCCCTTGGGTGATTGGGGGACTGTTTGGGTTGGGCAGTCATTCCTACCTCTACCCCAGGTAGCAGTATGCCACATTCCTGGGAGTGACTCCTCTCAAGCGTTCTTTCTTTATTAGTATCCCAATATTTTGAGCCCAGGAGGGTCCAGCTTCTGACATGTTCTATGGTGGAGGGAGGAGGGCTGATGCTTGCTCAGGTTACCTAGGAACTTCTCTTCCCCAGTATGCCTTCCAACCCTCTCCACATATAGGTTCGATTCACGTCTGTGTGTCTCTCTCCCTTTTTTATTCTCTTCCTCTTCCCCTTTCCTCTCCTGCGGTATTTAAAATATTCACAGTAAGTGTTCTGAGCTGGAGGAGGAGCTGAAGAATGTCACCAACAACCTCAAGTCTCTTGAGGCTCAGGCGGAGAAGGTAGGGGCTGGTTTGTGAAAGTGACAGGCTTTGGGGCCTGGGCCCAGCCCTGCCCTTGATGAGAGACTGGAGATACCCGTTTCTTATATAATCCAGTGAAATTTGCCCTTTTCCCACCCACCTGCCATCTATTCAGATTCTGGATTTAATGCTATTTTCTGTGCGCTGTGATTGCTTTTGTTCAAATAATTTAATGGTCTCAGGTGCCTGGAATCATGTGTTCCTCAGGCTGATACTGACTGTTATGCTGAAAGGCAATAAGCAAGGGCCCTACCAGACTTCCCAGTAGACAGATGGGGGCAACAGATAGAGTTGGCTCTGAGACCTAATGAGCAATCAAGACAGATGACTTCTTTAACATCATGGGGGATTGTTTGAGTCTTGTGGCCTGGGGTATCACTATTGATTATTAAGCAGCAGAAAGGAAAAACATCTCCTTGGGTTGACCTGAGTAAGAGTAAAGCTTAGGTCTATTTTAAAAATAAATATCATGGTGGATTCTAATTTGTGAGAGTATCGTGTCTCTGAAGACATAGATTTTTGAATTTTAAGGCCCTGTTTTCCAGACTGGGCTTTGTTCTTACTCTTGGACCATTCAGCACATTAAGTCCAAGAGGATATTCAGTGTAAGAGTTATAAGGGGGGTCTTGTCTGTGTGACTAATTTCTACTCTGAAATTTTTATTGTTTCTCTTACAGTACTCTCAAAAAGAAGACAAATATGAGGAAGAGATCAAGATTCTTACTGATAAACTCAAGGAGGTGAGCTGAGGGGATTACAGAAAGTAATCCAACATTTAGAGGTATATAGATAAGGCATTAATGTGGGCTTAGACTGTCTGGCTTTGGTTCTGAAAAGTCCAGAAGTAGAAAGTGGAAGAAACAGAATTTCTCTTCTTTGTCTTCATCTCTGATTCTGACTGGTTTTATATTTCTCCCAGGCAGAGACCCGTGCTGAGTTTGCTGAGAGATCGGTAGCCAAGCTGGAAAAGACAATTGATGATTTGGAAGGTATGGGGCATGGGAGAGAGATTAAAATACAGAGGAAAATACAGAGAAAATACAGAGAAATACAGAGGAAATACAGAGGAAAACCTTGCACATTAACCATTAATCTTTTTTCCCTGGACACCAAAGGAGATTGGTAGTGACTTGGCATATATCATGTGCTCCATTCTATGCCACAGCTAGGCGAAGCGGATCAGACCATAGATTTGGATTTTTACATTTAATCTTCTTCCTTAGTAAGATATCACCTAATATTCTGGAATTTGTATTCTTTCCTTTGAGGAAACTGGTAATAGCTGCATTTACCTCTAATTTAGTAGTCTGTGGGTTTAAATGGAAGCCATGATTTCAGAAGGCACATGATGCATGTTACCTCATGGCTACTTTTTGTAATCCTGGTCACCACTCAAGTTTTGGGGTGCTGCTCCAAGAAATGAAACTGTAGAATAACCATATCAGCACTGACCAGTGCCATGGGCTTTCTAAATACTTCCTGTCACTGTAGTTTGGCAACTGTCATGTACCCTGACAAGGGAGAGTGCCCTCTGCTTTGAGAACTCTGAGATATGCTCCTTCGGTATGCTCTCAGCAACAGGAAGAGTTTGGGGGGCAACCTGTGGAGCAAAGGGGCCACAAATAGGATCACAAATAGGATAGAGAAGTGTCTGAATATTGATATGAACTTTCTTCTTCTATTTTTGTTAAATTGTTCTCTGCCAGGGATTAAGTAACTGAATAGGAGTAGTATCCTCTTGAGTGCCTTTGAGAATAGGGATTTCTAGTTATGATTGCCCAAGTTCTCAACCCTTGTTGCAATTAGAGGCGTCAAGAAGTACAGTTGGTCCTAGGGGACGGTGGATTTGAAATGTCCAGTCATGGCTGCCAGAGCAGGTATATTCCTAACTGTGGTATTAGACTCACAGTCACACTTTTCCTAATTTCTAATGATTCCCTCTCTTCATCTGCTTCTGAAACCTTTTACTCTGTCCCCTCGTTCCTCCCTGTGGTTCCTGTGCCTGTCCAGATGAGCTCTATGCCCAGAAACTGAAGTACAAGGCCATTAGCGAGGAGCTGGACCACGCCCTCAATGACATGACCTCTATGTAACTATCTGGCAGCAGAGCGGGGCTGGGATCTTGTGGGTGGGTGGAGGTATAGGCTATGCAGTGTGCTTTGGTCTTGTTCTTTGGAAACCAGAATCTTCACCCTTAAAACACTGGTGCTGGTTACTTATTTGACAAAAACTGGGGAGGCATTTAATCTTGGGTCAGTGATAGAACCCTGATCAACATATAATTTTTGTACTTTATATTCATAGTTTCTTCATTACATTGTGATTTTTCTATTTGTTTCTCAAATTTAATCTTCTCAGAAGGGACACTGCCAAATTAGAACCCATACAATGAAAAAATAGGGCTCAGAGAGCCAGTGACTTGGACCCTAAAACATCATAACACAATTCATACCCCTGGGTGTATTCGATTTGTTCCCCAATAATAAAGTTGAGGGGAAACACCCAGGATGGGAAATACCAAATTCATCTGAGAGCCGGGCTTGGTGGCTCAGCCTGTAATCCCGCGCCTTTGGGAGGCTGAGGTGAGTGGATTGCCTGAGCCCGCGGGTTCGAGACCCGCCTGGGCAGCGAGACTCATCTCTACAATAAATCAAAAAATCAGCCGGGTGTGTTAGCGCATGCCTGTAATTCCAGCTACTTGGAAGGCTGAGACGGAAGGATCGCCAGAGCCCAGCAGGTCGAGGCTGCGGTGGCCAGGAGTGGCCACTGCACTCCAGTCTGGGCAACAGAGTGAGTCTCCAATTAAAAAAAAAACAAAAAAAAAAATTCATCTGAGAATCAAGCTGAGTCCCAGAAGTAAGCCATATAGTAAACAGCACCAAAAAGAGTTGTTGGGGACTTCGTCTGTTTGCTGTGGATCCCTGATCCTAGATGCTAACCTCTCATCTTTCCTACTAACTCTGAAAAGAAGCCAAATGTCTCAGGCTGAAGTATCTGGCTCTCTTTTATCATTCCTGCTACCTCTTCCTTTTTTTCCTCGTCCTTTCTCCCAAGTTGCTGTCTAGATTGATGCTAGTCTTTCTCACCTAGAGTATCCTTACTTTTTCATACAGATAATTCTCACCGTTTCTGCCCTGTTCTGGATCTGCCCCTTTCCTCGGGGAACCCAACTCTCAGTCTGGATTCCATTTGGGTCAGCCCGGCTGGTCCCCAAGGCATTAGGATTGGGGGGACACAAAGCAACTTATGTATTTTCTTCCACCCCCACCCCAAATTAAAATGTTGAGCTGTTGGAAGCCTCATGCCACCCTGCATTTGTGTCCTTGACAAAGCTGCTGCTGTCCCTGAGAAGGAGCCTTGGGGGTGTGATGTCGGGGACAGCTAACGGAGGGTCCCCCTACTCTGACTTATATAATCAAAGCCACTTTTGTGTGTGTCTATTTTTTTCTTGACATTTAAACTTGGCTGATCTGAGTCTGCCAGAGTGGTGGACTAGCAGATGTTCCTCAGGGTAGGAGTTCTAGTCTTATTTCTCAAGCTGAACAGGATGATCTGAGTCATTTACTTCCAGGTTCTTAAATCATTCTGCCTGCAATCTTTCCATTTTCTCTTTAAGTTCTCCTTTGATGTAATAAGATCGAGTGGCCATTGAAGTTACTCTCAATACATGTTATTCTCTACCCTTTTATTAATGGTTCAAATGGTGCGTTCAGAACACCTGGTAAACCCATATGCATATTCCTACTAAGATTGACTAATTGTATCATTCCAAATCACAGAAAAAATACATAATGAATAGAATTCTCAACAGTTTTACATTTTCTTTAAACCTTTCTTCCATATTTGAGGCTTACTATCCATTTGCTTGCCAGCATGTGCTAGTCGGATATAAGACAAATGATAAATTATTATTGGAAAAACAAACAACCAGTCATGCATATTTCACATGGAGGCGTTTATTACATACATAAATTTCTGCTAGTAAATTTGTTCCTGCTTCATATGTGGAATTAAATATCAACATTTCAGAAACTCCTGTTTCATTTTACACAGCAGAGATATATCAGGATACTGTAGTTGTCAATTACATTAATCGAAGCATCTAAGTGTTGTTTACCTAATACTTCACTTTCTCAGCAGAATATGAATTTAAAACTTGCTTTTTTAGTTGGGTGTGCAGTGGTGTATGCCTGCTGTAGCCCCAGCTACTCTGAGAGGCTGAGGTAGGAGAATTGCTTGAGTCCATGAGTTCTGGGCTATAGTGAACTATGCTAATTGGGTGACCTCACTAAGTTTGGCATCAGTATGGTGACCTGAGGGCAGTGGACCACCAGGTTGCCTAAGGAGGGGATAAACAGAGCGGCTCAAAACTCCCATGCTGATTAGTAGTGGGATTTCACCTATGAATGGCCACTGGACTTCAGGCTGGGCAACGTAGCGAGACCTCGTTTCTTTTTTAAATGCAAGGCAGGCATAGTGGCACATGCCTGTAATCCCAGCACTTTGGGAGGCTGAAGCAGGAGGATCACTTGAGGCAAGGAGTTCAAGACCAGCCTGAGCAACAAAGTGAAACCCTGTCTCTACAAATAAAAGGAAAACTAGATGGACAAGGGGCACACGCCTCTAGTCTCACCTACTCAGGGGGCTGAGATAGGAGAATTGCTTGAGCCCGCAAAGTTGAGGCTTGGTGAGTTGTGATTTTGCCACTGCACTCCAGCTTGGGAGATAGTGAAACCCTGTTTCACAAAAAAAAAAATAAAAATGAAAACAAAAATAACAAACAACACTAAAACTTGCTTTTCTTTTAAACAGATAACTAGGTAGAGAAGTTTTCCCTAATAAAGTTTAAATAACAAATTCAACTTTTTTTCTGTCCATATCATTTCTTGCCACACAACCTTTGAGAGTAAGACACAGATTCATTTATTCAGCTGACACTTCTTGGTATCTTCTAGGTATAGGATATTAAGATGGAGACAGAAATAAAGTTGGAGGTACCATTCCTACTCTCAGGTTGCTCAGAATCAAGTAGGAGAGAGAACATACATAGAGCTAAAGACACTGTGTGATGGGTGCCACAAGTAACAGAGTTGTGAGTATTGGGAGAGGGGAAGAGATTGAGTCCAGTGGGATAATTAGGAAAGACTCATGGGAGAAGGCATGTAATAGATAATAAACATGTTAAAATATGCCTCTTCTTTTCATTGGGTTCCAAAAGATTGGATTTTGACAAGCAAAGGTGGATGGAGGGACTGAATACTGAGCATTTCGGTTAAAGAGAAACAGTAATACAGACAGAGACAGAAGAGAAGGATACAATATCTGAAAGGTAGACTTAGAATAGTAGGCAGGGGCTGAGGTGAGTGGATTGCCTGAACCCGGAGGTTCGTGACCCGCCCAGACAACTTGGCAAGACCTCATCTCTACAGTAAACAAAAAATCAGCTGGGCGTGGTAGCGCGCGCCTGTAGTTCCAGCTACTTGGAAGGCTGAGGTGGAAGGATCGCCAGAGTCCAGCAGGTCGAGGCTGCGGTGGCCGGGAGTGGCCACTGCACTCCAGTCTGGGTGACAGAGTGAGACTCCAACTCAAAAAAAAAAGAATAGTAGACAGGGTTGTGTGCCAAAAATCAGGCTGTGGTGTTTTGATTTATGTGGTAGGTGATGGAGTTCCCCAACCAAAAATCAGGCTAGGGATTTGGAACCAGGTATCTTATGCTCTGAGCAGCATATAAGAAGAGTTAATTTAGCCAGGTGTGGTGGCTGACGCCTGTAATATCAGCACTTTGGGAGGTGGAAGCAGGAGGATGACCTGAGCTCTTGGGTTCAAGACCAGCCTAGACAATATGGCGAGACCTTGTCTCTACAATAAATAAAAAAACTAGCCAGGCGTGATGTTGTTTGCCTAAGTTCAGCAGGTTGAGACTATAGTGGCTGTGAGCATGCCATTGCACTCCAGCCTGAATGAGAGTGAGACTCCAAATCAAATAATAGAAGAGTTAATTTGATAGCTAAATTAATGTTTGGAATAGATTAGCAAAGTGATTTACTCATATGATTTCCAATTTCTCATTTGCATGCAATTTCTGGTGACTTTTGCCATATTCGCATGTTGTCTATATTTTCTTCAAATCTACTGTTGTTTCTGAATCTATTTTATTCTACGTCTACACAATTTTATTTCAAAATGAAAGGTTTGTCCTGGTGGTTTTTCCTAATGTATGTTAAAATAAATACAGTAACTTTTAATTTTAATTTTAATTTTTTTTTTGAGTTGGAGTCTCACTCTGTCGCCCAGATTGGAGTGCAGTGGTCGCTCCCGGCCACTGCAACCTCGACCTGCTGGGCTCTGGCAATCCTTCCGCCTCAGCCTTCCAAGTAGCTGGAACTACAGGCGCGCACTACCACACCAGCTGATTTTTGATTTATTGTAGAGATGAGGTTTCATCAAGTTGCCCAGGTGGGTCTTGAACCCGCGGGCTCAGACAGTCCACTCACCTCAGCCTCCCAAAGTGCTGTGATTACAGGCTGAGCCACCGAGCCCTGGACTTTTAATTTTTTTTATTATTTTTTATTTTGAGTCAGAGTCTCACTCTGTCACCCAGGCTGGAGTGCAGTGGCATGCTCACAGCCACTGCAGCCTAGACCTGCTGGACTCAGGTGATCCTTCTGCCTCAGCCTTCCAAGTAGCTGGAACTATAGGCATGTGCCACTATGCCCGGCTAATTTTTTAATTTATTGTAGAGATGAGGTCTCCCCAAGTTGCCTAGGCTGGTCTCGAGCCCATGGGCTCAAGCAGTCCTCTCATCTCAGTCTCCCATAGTGCTGGTATTAAAGGTGTGAGCTACTGCGCCTGGCCTATAATAATTTTTTAAAGTTCACAAATGTTTACTGCCTGAATACACACCACCACTATGTACTATGTACATACACCACCATATACATTCAATCAGCAGTAAATATGCCACCCTTTGGGAAATAATAGTTTTCCAGGAAAGAATAATTGGGATCTGAGCTAGATTAGTGTTAGGAGAGATGACTTAGTTAAGACTGGCATTCTGAAGGGCCTGGCCACTCATTGTGAGGAGGCAAA